GGCAGACAGGCACTGAAGTCTTTTCTTCACAGAACATCTACAGCATAAACTGATGATGCCCGTTTCCCCACAACGGGCCTTAACCCCTTCTAGGGTGATCACTTGTACCAGAGAAAGAGGTAGTTTAGTCTCCAGGCTCATGCAGTCTTGGGTCGCTCCGAGAACCCCAGCAGGGGCACCAATATACTTTCTATTCTGATGACTATTTTGAGTGCTGGGCTCCTGTTCTCAGTTGCTGTTCTGCATTTGATAGCCATCACCTGCAGTTGGGCAGACAGCCATTAGAAAGTAACAACTTTTGGCCTAGCTGTTTTTCCACTGGTGACAAAGGTGAAAAACTCCTCACTCTACATTTCTACCTCGGTTCATCATCTAGTTCTCCTCTCTTCACATAGTCCGCATGTCCATTACAAGGACATACTTGGGGTTGGTGTGAAGAGCAAGGGAAATGGGTCTATCTAAAGGCACAAGCTCAGCTGCAGTCTGTGTTCAGGAGCCGTTCAGGAACCGTTTCCTGCCTATTCCCCTGCCAGAGAATGGCTCACCAAAGACAGGAGGAGGAAGCGGGGTCACAGCTTTGCCCTGCTCCACACTGGCTGGTAGCCCTGGCATAAAGGAGCACAGCACATCTAGGATCTGCCTCTGCATTGCACTATCCCCAGTGCAAGGCTATTCCCATAGGATAAACTGGTGCTACAGACAAGTACTGTCCCATGCCTTAATACATACCTTCATACTGACTATTGCTACCCGGAGATTTGTTCCGCCTAGATCCACAGCCAAGGCACTCTGGGTTTCTAGAATGTGGTCAATATCTTGTGAGATGCTCTCCTTTACAGGAGGGAAGCAGAACTTCTTCTGTAGTGGCTCTTTGAGGTCAATAGATTTGAGGAACTTCAGAATTCTTGGAACAGCATTACCATCCCCATATATTTTTGAGCTGTAACATAAAAAGCAACCATTCTAGAGCAAATAAAATAGTGATTCTGTAAAGCACGGATAAAAAAGGCCACAATATTTCACATCGCAAAGGTTATAACACATTATCAGCCATGACAATAATGCATTTAAAATCTCTGTGAATGCCACAGAACGGGTTAGATGCTTTAATGCTCTGGAGTGGATTCAGGGCTGTCCAGCTACAGATAGCAGAAGTGTGGAATTACCATCATTCTTTGCTCTCAGCTCTCATTTAACCATGTTCCATGAGGCTATAGCATTTTCTAAAAAAATTCTATATGCTCATACTGAACCCTAAACATCAAGTCATTGGCACTCATACAGCAAAGCTTTGGCGCAATCTCCCAACATTGTACAATAATTCTGAGATTCACAGACTGCTTTCCTTTTTATGTAGTAAGAGATCCAAGGCGATTATTTCTTCCTAGAGTGGTGAGTTACCTTAGAACAAATATAGTGAAGTCTATTTTCCACTCTGATTTTAACTAAGGGACTCTTCTCTTGTCCCCTGCAGTGCAGTGCGTGGATCTAGGTACTTACCAAGGATACTGTTTTCCAAACTGGAGATGCAAAGCTTGTAGTATTTTGTCCTGTGTATCAGCATCACGCACATGAAGAACATTTTCACCTAAATCATCAAAAATGCAATATGATTCTTGTGCATGCCAGCTATTTGATAAAAAATGTGTGTTCGGCGGGGGAGAGGGGAGAAGCGGTCTGAGATCAGGGAACAGAGTTTGAAATGAACAAGCAATTACTTTTGTGTCCTGGTAAAAAGGATTAAAGCCTAACACCTACTCAACAGGAACACAACCTATGTGCAACATAGTGCCCCTACTTCTGTATGTATCATCCTCTTATATGCTGGTGTTATGCTATGCTAACATTGCTCTGTTAGGTCCTACTCCCACTGAGGTCAAGAGCAAAACTGTCATGGTATAATAGCCTACCTCTCAAGCACTTAGCGAACAGAATTCTTATTAACTACAGTGTGATTCCATATATAAGAACACAGAGAACAGGAAAGTAAACTGATATTTACATCATACCTAAGGCACCTGTATGATTGTGAAGAAAAGCTACATATTTGCTTTTTATACCTGGTTGTGATGTGTGTGTATATATATTTAAATTGCAAGATGATACCAGAACAGATAGTTTTATGCCTCACATGTACTTGCACCCATAAAGAAAACACGTACCATGGTTTATTTTTTGCTGGTGGTAGCCACTACATATATTTATTTTAACTAGACTATAGATAAACCCCTTTCCCTAAAAAGCATTGAAACAGAAGGCACAGATCAATGAAGCAATTAAGGTAGGTCAAAACTGCCCTCCTCTGATAATGTCCATTAAAAATAAAATGGACAAGCCTGTTAAACTCTGACTTTACCTTCTGTAGTGACAGTGTCACATAACCGGGCCCGACACCCAGGAAGTTCATTTAGAGAACTTAGCAGCAAACACATACCTGTTTCTCTTCCTATCTGACGGGTCCCCAGATTGATGACAGGGGTGCCAAATGCTCCCACTTCTCGAACACCACAGCTGCTGTTACCAATCACACAGCCAGCATGTGCCACTAACTGGATGAACTGCTCAAACGGAACATGCTTCACTGCTCGAAAATTGGGATGATGCTCAATGCCCTTCTTCCTCATCACTCGAACCATCTCTTTGCTTCCTATAGAAAAAGCCAACACTTGAGAACATGCTAAACAACAGTTGAATTTTCACTCTGGTTACAGAAGGGTAACTGTATACAGTTTTATGCCTCTGGGGCTAACAGACACACTGTGAAAGTAGTAGGGCTGATACTCTTACGACTGCCCCCACCAGCTCTGTGTACAAATTCCTAATCTCTCTTTGCTCACCCACCTCACCTATTCAGACAGGCCTCTTCCCAGCTGTGTCAATGAGCATAGTGTTACAATTGAGTGTCTGAGATCCAATGGGGAAAACACTTAAACATTTTAGAGCCAGCGGGTGAGCAGAATAACTTATCTGTCCCCCCAAAACTGTAATACTTTCCCTTTATCTTCCTCAGATGATTGAAGGGTGAAGGTGATCCTGCAATCAACACACGGTTCCAGTGAGTTCAAAGAGGATACCGACATCACTAAAGGCATGTCTACACAACAGAGCTGAAGTCAAATTAAGCTATGCAACTTCAGTTACATCAATTGCATAGCTTAAGTTGAAATAGCTTAATTCGGCTTTTGGCCTCTTCCTTCAACATCCCTTACTCCTTGTGAAACAAGGATTACAAGAGTTGGAGTAAGAAGTCCCCAGCTCGACATTATTTTGAAATAATGGCTTGCAGTGTAGACACGCTCTTTGTTATTTTGGAATAATGTCAGTTATTCTGAAATAATGTTGCTGTGTAAATGTATCCTGAGACATTAAAAGGGAAGTGTTGACTAGTGTGGGAGATAACAAGCACAATGGATTAACATTAGATTTCTTCCCCTCTGCTCATTGGCTGTTGCTCCATCACCCTCAGTATTTCAGTTCTCAGTCCCATGGAAACGTTTAGAGTGGCACTGGGTCAACTCATGCACACTCAGTAAAACAGCTGAAGTGTAACATCACTGGGAGTTCCACCCCCCTGAGAGTCTCACCAGGAACCTAGACCTCAAAGGGTGCCCTGGGTCCCCCTACTGGAGCCACATCCACTATGGCCTGCTGTGAGGTGACCGGAACGGGACTCCCCTCAGACCTGAAGGGACGTAAGCATTTCCAAGTGCCTGTTGCTCTTTTATGCATTGCACTGCCTGTGCTGATTGGCGTATTACTTTGCAGTAGCTGTGTAACCATCTGGCAGTATTAAGCCTGTAATAGTAGTGAGATTACTAAAAGCAATTATCCCTAATCAACTCTGTCTTGAAGCGAATCCAAAACCCTCTTGGGTCCTGCCCCTGTGAGTTGACACTTGTGAAATGAGAGTTACCATGAGTCAGAGTAAAAAATCCTCCAGCTCGACTTTATTTCGAAATAAAGGCTTGTATTGCAGATGCACACTGTTGTTTAGAAATAATGTCAGTCATTCTGAAATAACGCTGTTGTGTAAACACACACTGTTATTTAGAAATAACGTCAGTCATTATGAAATAACGCTGTTGTGTAAACGTACCCTAAGCTACCTCTATGTGGGTAGATGAGGTAGCACAAGTGAAGATGCAGAGAAGGAAGAGGAAACTAGATGGGAGGGCTGAAATGAACAAGGATGGATGCAGATGGATTAAGAGGTCTATGAGGGTGCACCTACACTACAGGGCTTAACTCAAAATAAGCTACGCCAAATGCGTATCTTATTTTGAAATAGCTTATTTTGAAATAGGGAGTGTCTACATAGCACTGATTTCGAAATAGAGCACTCTTCCTCCCACTTCCCGTATTCCTCGTACAACGAGGGTTACAGGAGTCTGAATAAGAAGTCCTCCAGTTTGACAGCATGTTGACATTATTTTGAAATAACTGCCTGCTGTGTAGACACGGACTAAGCTATTTTGGAATAGCGCAAGTTATTTTGAAATAGTGTTGCAGTGGAGACATAACTTGAGTGAGACAGAGGGTAAAGTGACTCCACAGGGAGTTCTGAAAATCTAGAGGGTAATTCTTCCCCGGTCTTTAAAAAAAAACAAACACACCAAACCACTTATGAAAACCCTGTTTTACTCACCTGCATCAATATTTGGGAACAGAACTAGCGTCCTTTTGTTAAAGGACATGAGCGCATCCAGAGTTAGTTCAAACATCTTGATGGAATGTTTAATATCTGTGGTCACAGGATGCTGAAGAGCAACTATATAATCTCTTGGTTTTACATCTTCTCCTGTTTAAAGGAAACCCAAAAGAGACTGTTTTATTAGTAGGCTGGTGGTAGGAGGATGATTCTGAAGCCATTGAAATAAAATCCCCATAAAGTTTTAGACAGCCAATCTGGTTTGTAGCAAGAGTTCCAATACCATAAGAGATCACTAGGGAGTAACTGAAGAAGATGAATTTGAAGTTTACTGCTATTGTCTAAGGCCCCAGCACAGAGCCAACTGCAGTATTGGGTCCTAAAACTTTATAAGAGTATGCTGAGCACAGCCTGAGGCTCCTGGTTACAAAAGCATAAAGCTGAGGTGAAGCCAATTCAATTATTCTAGCTTTATACCACTGTAAATGAGAGCAGAATTTTGACCTTTAGGCTGTGATACAACAGAAAGCAGGCAGAGCTGACAGATTTTCATTGTGACCATGTATTCCTCTCAATCCATTAGTCTACTTAGGTTTTCTGACAGTCTTCTGGACCTCCAGGGACAGATTTGTCACCATTTACTTAAGGGATGAGAGAGTAGCTACTATAAATACTTCACTCGCTTATAAAAATTTATTAAACTATTGAACTATCAAAAAACATAGCTCCTGACTGACAGGATCTGAAGAATTTTCCTGTCAAACACCAACAAGATTTGCTGATTTATATGGAATGATCTGAAAGTAAATGGATGACATGCAAACACACATTTCTGAAATACATCATGCAATTGTATTGAACTGTGTAGGAGACATCATGTAAATTCCCTTGATTTTCTGCAAATTAGCTCCATGCATAATCTCTAAGAAAATTAGGTCAGACCTGCTCCCAGATGTCTGGTTGTAAAGAATATGAACAAGATTCTGAACCTCTGTGTATCAAAGGAATAGCTCTGAGTTCCAATTTATTTTGTAACAAAGAGCTCAGCAAATTTGACTCCTGCTTTTTGACTCAGCAGTAGAGTGTCAGATGCTAAAGACAATTTCTGACCACACTTTGTCACGTAGGGTTACTTTCTCCTGGTTACAAATAGAAGAATGGAAACTGTAGAAATGAAGGAGTTTCTTAAAGAAACCAAGACAGTCAAAATGTGATGGGATATTGATGGGATGTAATTCTGTTAAATATAATATGTGAAGCTGGTGTCCCTATTTCTCGGTCTTCCAGGCTACACACTAACTGGCCCTTTTATTAACCTTACCCTGGAAACAGACTATTGAGATAGAAGATCTGAAGGCTTGACATTGTTTTTCCTCCATTTGGAATATCACCAAGAGCTTTTGTTCTCAAAATAATATGCACATTTTCCTTAAGTGTGAAAGGCAGAGCACATGGTATTTTTCTTTCAAAAGAGCAAGGGAAAAAGACATGGAACAATTCTGCAACAGCATTCTACTGAAGACCATGATACCAAGGTTTTCAGCTTCATGTCTGTGTTTACTGGGTCTGCATATACTTCTGTAGTAGGAACTGGAGGACAGAATTTCACTTGTCAAAGCATGCTAAGATCCTCTCTCATCTTCATGGGAGCACCAACAAAAACTCATGTCAGCTTATTATAGAAATCAGATGAACTTTGAACAAAATGCAATACACACCTAGCCACATACGTATAATACTCATGTAGTCTTTATTTTTGGAGGAGAGAAGCTTGTCATATGAGGGACAGCCAGCCAGCAGGATGCGATCATGATCCTCGCACATAGCTATCAAATGCTGCTCTGCACTTCTTGTGCAACACACATGGAAATGAGCCAGTTTGGTTATGGCATGTCTGATTGAATCATCTATGGTCCCACTGACTTCCCCGCCTTCAATATGAAGAATCCGAATATTCATCAAGGCTGCAGATGTGGCCAGTGCCAGAGCATCAAATCTGTCCCCATGAACAATCATTATGTCAGGTTTCAGACGGTTGAGGACATCCGGTAGCTTTACTAACGCGAGGCCTACTGACTCCACCATGGCTGCCTCGTCTTCACCTCTCACTATGGTGTGCAACCTCGTGTGAATGTCAAAGTCATCTTGTTCGATCATACGGTAGGTATTACTGGAGAGAGAAGTGAAAGAAAAGAAATGCTCAAGCTGCAATGCCACTTGCTTTCACACTGATTCTGCTGTTGTAAGATACATCACAGAAGTATTTCATCACCGGTTTCCCTGTGAACTAACTTTGAGGATGCAGCTACATTCTCTCGCTTTGTGGGAGACACCTTTCAAATTGGTAATGATCCTTGTTCACTGGGACCAACATTTACCAACTAGGGTGCCTAAGGTAGTACTTGGTGCTATGCTTGGGCATCTGAATTGATGGGCCTGATTTGCAATGTACTTGAGCATATATAGCTTCCGCTGACTTAAGTGAGAATTGTGGCTGCTTAGCACCTCTGAAAACCAGGCCATTTTGATTTAGGTCCCTAACTTTCAGAAGCCTAGTTTGAAAGCACTGACCTGCTTTTGACAGCTTGCCATCAAAGTAGCACCTTGCAGATTATAAAAAACAAGTAATCCAAATTCAGGCTGGGTTTTCAGCACAAAGAAACCATATTTTTAAATAGTGTCTCTATAGCCATATAAAAACAAAGTTTAAATAAGGGAATGAAGGGAGAAAAGGAGTCACACAAAGGCTATAAGCATATGGGACTTCTAGGAATCTATTTTTTAATATTCTTACTAGACTTCACATATTTTAAAGCCTGTGTAATACCATAGGCCCAGAAAAAGCAAAGACTCCTTAACCATAAGCTATTTATTTCAAACTGCATAACATATTTTAATCGCCACCAGATATTTAGTTAGTACAACTCTGCCAAAGTCTTTTTTCTAATATACTTGTACCAAATTGTTATACAGGCTGAGCAGCAGAGAAAAATGTTGAGCTTCTTCCACAGAGTAGAGTCTGATAGTGGGGGAGCTTGAAAGTAAGTTTAGTTAGGAGACTTCCCAATCATATCTCTGTAGTTTAAATTACACATGAAAGGCTTTCAGAGAGCTACCAAGCACCAGCTAGGATGCAAACCTGAGTATTGTATGCACACACCAGGGCAGAGGTGGGCAAAATAGAGCCCTCAGGCTGGATCTGGCTTGCCAAAGCACTGAACCTAGCCCACCACCATCCCACAGCCCAGGGGAGTATTGGGCAGGCTCCCTGCCTGCCACGCCCCCGCACGCCACTCAAAGCAGCCAGCTCTGGGAGCCATTTGTTCTCTGCGCGCCACATGTCCCTGTGGGGAGAAAGGCCGTGTGCAGCCCCCATTCCCACTCCGGCAATGGAAACTGTGAGATTATGCTAGGGATGGGGGCAGTATGAGAAGCCTCCCTCCCCCAAAGGGGAGCATGGTGTGAAGAGACACACATGGTCCACACAGCTGGGCAGGGCACAGCAGACAGGGTGCCCTGTGAGCTGCTGACCAGGATCCACCAAAGGTAAATGCCTCTCAGCCAGAGCCTGTACCTGGCACCCCATCCTCTCCCTCCCTCCCAGCCCTCTGAACCCCCTGCTCCTGCACCCTCATCCCCAGCCCCAAGTCACAACTTCCTCCCAGAGCCAGACCTCTCCTCCAGGTCAGAATCCTCTCCTGCACCCATACCACCTCCCAGACCCTGTACCCTCTCTTGCATACCCATCCCTTGTCCCAGGCCATAACCCTCTCCTCCACTCAAACTCCCTCCCAGACCTCACACCCGCTCCTGCACCCCAATCCCCTACTCTGAGCTCCTTTCTGCACTCAACCTCAATCCCAGACCCTGACCCTGCTCCATTAATAGCATGAAATAGTGCAGCCCTTAGCCACTTACCAAATTTTTGGAGTACCCTCCCCCTCCCCCAAATATTGCCCAGCCAGCTATACAGCTGTTTGCATTTTCCCCTTGTTTTCCCCCCACTGCTGTGCAACTGAAGAGCCACTACTGTCAATACAGTAATTCCAATTTACTGCCAAGTAGCTCCTCAGTCCTCTAGAGTAGGTGATGAATTATATTAAAACTAACTGTTCCTTTTCTGAGTCTAGGAACAAATGAAGACAGCTACAAGAGACACAGCAATGCCACACAGGGAGGGTTCATTTTATGTTGCTGAGATGACATGAACTAATAGCAGCTTACACCCACCATGGAAAGCTGTCATATTTCTGATATGCTGGAGTCACAAACACACTTGTCATCTATAACTGGGGTGAAGGACAAGAGGCAGGATAATAGGAAAAAAGACAGCTGCTCATGCGCAGTGTATCATGATGCATTTACATGCCATATTCATTATACCTGACCTTATAAATGCATCAGGCTCTCTGGCTACAATGAGAGATGCTCAAAGGGTTCTAATTCTTTTCCTTAAGAGAACTGATCCATTCCTCTCTCCTTAGTGGAACAAAGGCAGAAAGCATTCTTCTGTGGAGCCCCAGAGAAGGGACAGAGGGAGCCAATCTTACAACCCCCAGCCCTTCTTACTATACTGCATGCAGGAGAAATCTTGGCCAGTGACCTCCCACATGATGTGTTCAAGGCTGATACTATTCCAACAAAACATTTCCTCACTTTTAATCGTTTCAGCTGCATTATGTTCCTGGCTGCGTACGCCTACTCTCTGCTCCCCACTGCACCCTCATTCACCAGCTTTGGACCAGACTCTGAATGCCTTGCTCACCAGTGCCTAGCAATCAGCAGCAGCAATGGTGGCAGCTGCTGTCCCTCTCACAGCTCCATACCCAAAGTGCCTCTACACCCTTGAGAAGTGTGAAATGGTGACCCTATGAAGGGGAATCCATCAGAGACTTACTCTGCAGGCACAGCCTGCTGTTAACTGGCTGCTGCATCAGTCACAAGAGTCAGCAGGCTCAATACTCCTCCCATAGAAATCAAAGGCAGAGCTCTCATTGCTGATTTCCAAGGGAGTGTAAACAAGCCCACTGCTATTCCTGGGAGTATGTAGAAAAAAATAAAGAAATAGTATTTTCAATTCATCCACTCCGTCTGCCGTCTTGTTCAGCACATCTCTGAGAAAACACATTTGTTTACATTTACAGGATGTTATGCTGCCTGCTTTTTATTTACAATGTGCCCTGAAAGTGAGAACAGGTTCTCATGGCACTGCTGTAGCCTGTATTGCAAGGCATATATCGTGCCAGACGTGTTCAACGGTCATATGGCTCTTTTACTCAGGCTTTAAAGTTTTACATTGTTTTCATTTTTGAATGCAGTTGTGTAAAAAAAAAACTGACGTGTGTACGTTGCGCTTTCATGATAAAGAGATTTCACTACAGTATTTGTATGAGGTGAATTGAAAAATGCCATTTTTGTGTATTTTTTTCTACAGTGCAAATATTTATACCCAGAAATAGTACTGTAAAGTGAGCACTTGTATTCTGTGTTGTAACTGAAATCAGTAAGTTTGAAAATATAGAGAAACATCCAAAATATTTGTAATAAAATAAACTGGCATTCTGTTATTAACAGCGTGATAACTATGATTGCTGTCTTTTTTTTAAAAAAAATCATATTAATCATTCAACAACCCTAGCTTTTAGTATTTCCATCTACAAGCTTGTCTTTATTCGGAAGAAACCTTCCTAAGCAGTTGTGCAAACCATATATCCTAGGGGGCCAGAAATAATCCTAAGCGTAAGTGTGCTATCAAGTGCCACTGATACCAAAGAGTCACCTGCCCAGTGTATAGGATTAACCCTGCCTGCCACAAGATGAATACAAGAACACGGGATTCCCACTGAAAACAGAGGTGTGCTCTTTGGCAAAATTAACTCTCTCAGACAATATAATTGATTTCTAACAGACTAATAAAAGAAAGTTCTTCTTCACGCAGCGTGTAGTCAACCTGTGGAACTCCTTGCCAGAGGAGGCTGTGAAGGCTAGGACTATAATCGAGTTTAAAGAGAAGCTAGATAATTTCATGGAGGTTAGGTCCATAAAAGGCTATTAGCCAGGGGATAAAATGGTGTCCTTGGCCTCCGTTTGTCAGTGGCTGGAGAGGGATGGCAGGAGACAAATCGCTTGATCGTTGTCTTCGGTCCACCCTCTCTGGGGCACCTGGTGCTGGCCACTGTCGGCAGACAGGATACTGGGCTAGATGGACCGTTGGTCTGACCCAGTACGGCCGTTCAAGTGGGTCTGGCCCACGAAAGCTCATCATCTAATAAACCATCTTGTTAGTCTTTAAAGTGCTACATTGTCCTGCATTTTGGGAGCCAAAGTCCTTTTTGTTCCAAATGTGGCTGAGGCACCTGGAAGCCTATGTCTAATTGAAAGTCACTGGAATTTAGCATCCAGGATGTCTAAATTACTTTAAAAAATGGGATTTAGGACTGGTGAGTATAGAAGGGCAATCATTTCCAGGAAGACAATTCATTTGTGTCTATTCCGGCTGGGATTTCCATAGAAGCCTATGACCTTATCTACACAACAGGTTGTTCTGGTATACATTCTATCACTCAAGGGTGTGAATAAGCCACATAAGTTACACTGTCAGCATGGACAGCACTATGTCAGCAAAAGAAGTTCTCCCAACTCCAGTGAAGGCAGGACTTAAGCCAATGGGATAACTCTCTCCTGCGGGCTTAGCATGTCACTACCACAAGTAGTGCAATGATACAACTACATTGCTATAAGTGCTCTAGTGTAGATGTAACCTGAGAGAGCTGGGTCAATTCCTAGTGACTTTCAGTCCCCTTTGAAAAGCCTGGTCAAAGCATTCAGATACTCAGGGAGGCGCTAAATAAGTACTAATTTGGTATTGTTACACAATAATAATTTGAAAGAGGAATGAGCAACCAAACAAGGACATGTTCCCCTTTAATGGATAACACCATTTAATTAATCAGATCTGAAACAATACTTGGCTGAACATATGAGTATCCAAATATCCAAACCTGCTTCACTAAGAGATGACTAACATACCATTCTTTATATCGGATCTCAACTTGACAAGGAACATGGCAGACATGCAAGTTTCCACCTTACCCATAGTCATCAATCAGATGGGAGCCAAGCACCACTACATCAAGCTCGAAGAACTGTGGTTCTGACTTAATGCCAAACATGATAGGAGCTAATTTTGAATAATCAGCTCGGTTGCAGGTAGCAACACACACCCGAAGTTTCCGGTTGTTCCCATTCTTCTCCATGATTTGTTTTTGTTTTGAAAGATTCTTGAAATACAGTTCCTGAAACAACAGAAAGCAAGGATTCATATTTTTCTGTACAGCTATAAAACTGCATATGTAAGTGATGAAAGACATGCAGCAGAATTCTATGCTACCCCAGTGTGGAAATTTAGACATATGCAAACTGATCAAAAGATTACCATGAAGAGAACCAGTACTTTTCTGGGGGAAAAAACATGCTTTCAGTTACAGGTATAATCTCTGATTGAATGTGTGCACATGTGCTAGAGATGTGAATGGTTAATCGGTAAGCCGCACACTTTGCAGGTGAGGCTTACCTGTCTGTGGTAGGCCCAGTGCAGGCACACTGCAGGCAGCCAATTAAACAGGATTTTGCATCCCTGATATGTGCATGCATGCTTTCACAAAGGAAACAGTTGTTTGGTGTTCAAAGCAAGGAGCTGAATTTCAGGACTCCTGGGTTCTATTTCTATGTCTGACACGGACTTCCTGTGTAATCTTGGGAAAGGCCTAAACTTTCAAATATATCCACTAATTTCAAATGCTTAAGTTGAGTGATGTGAAGTCTGGTTTTCAAGTATGTGGCGCTCTCCTGACTTGACATGGGAGCATGACACACAATTCTGTTGAATATTAGGCCCCAAAAGTTTCAAGTTGAGCATTCAAAACTTGAGGCATCCAAAATTGTGGACACCTGGGAAAAAAATTTAGGTTAATATATTTGAAGCCTTCATTTACCTGACTAAAATGGAGAGAATGATATAAACACATTGTGAGATCCAACTGTAATGAAAAGCCTGCAAAATACTTTTGAGTATAAAATTAATACTATCTTCCTGGATGACCACAAGACCCTAAAATCCCATAATGAAGAGGTCTACTGGGAGATACACAGGGCTACCTTTCAAAGACACTGTATGACCACCAGGACAAAGTAGCTCCTGAGTATTAAGCATCAACTCCTTTACCAGCAACGTGGAAACATTATGGAAGTGAGTAGCTGTTTGCCACTAAATCAAACGTGTAAATATGATGCTGATTGTGATCTCACTTGCACTGATGTAAGCTAGGAGTAATTCTGTTGCACCCAATGCAATTGCACCAGTGTAAAACCAGATTCACATCAGAATCAGGCTCTAAAACATCATAAGTCTTATCGATCTTCAGCTACTATTAGATACTCAGTTTACTCCTATTTCCTCTAACACACACACGCAAACACAGGACGTGTGTAATTAACCTATTTTATACCCATTTTTTTAAACAGATGTTCAAGCTTCATGAACAAGACAAAGTAAAAAAAGAATTATCAGATTATTCCTTATATTGGTATAGCATTTCAATGAAGTATTTTATGAGTTTAAATGACAAGCTTCACAAAACAAGTTTTTGTACCACTAATTTTCCGATACTGAACCTCTCCTTCAAAGCAGAAAAAGATCAGTTAAGTATCAGACCACTTATTGTAGTTCAGTTCAGAGATCTTCAAATATCCGAAATCTTCTAAGTATTATTCTTGCTCACATTTTAAACTGCAATACAGAAATAGCCTCAGAAAGATTCCAGAAAATTTGATACTAGAACACTCAGGCCTAGGATCATCCATTTTTAGCAAAGGGGATGAAAACAGTGAACTTCTGGACAGGGGCAAAGAAACTCTTACTCCCCATCCTATGGGAGTCTGCAGAACTTGATCTCCATACAGGGTTTTCAAAGATTTAGGAGAGTGAGCAAAAGGTGACAAGTATTTCCCTTTTGTTCTCCATTGGAGCTCTGCAGTCTCCACAGAAGGAGTGAACAGGTGTGGGATGAAGGCTCCAAAGACAGTGTATAAGTCAGATCTTGGGGCTCTGTTAGGTTTGGGGACTGAACATCCTTCTCATTCCATGAGAAACCCAAGCACAGAAAACTTGGCAAGGGAAATCTGAGAGTTTCCAGGCTCCTACACAAGTTTGTAAGATCCCTCACCCTTTTACTGGTGCTGGGCCTGCTGGGGGAAAGTTCAGTGTGTTAGTCAAATCCACTGAAGACTCTTGTTACCCCAATTTGAATATAAAGGAAACAGGAGTGATCTCTGCGGACTGGGGAGAGGTAAAGGCTGAGCAGTCCTGAGACTGGAAACCTTAAGTGAATGACTGTAGAACAGGGGCTAAGAAAGATGCCAACTCACAATTTGTTGCAAAGGTGAATCACAGAGGAGGAGAAAAATGAAGGCACAATGATAGAAGTCACGAAAGTAGAAAGCGACCACAAGAAATGTGCATGTGCCTAAGTCATGAGTGCTTTAAAGGCATCAACATGTGATAGGCATGTACATTTAAATTAAATGCTTACCAAGGCTCTGAAAAGTTAATGTGGAGTTAAAGGGATGTGGAATCAGGCCCTGAATATTTTCTGCCCCCATCAATGCACCCTTAGTCTCTCTTTGAAAAGGTCACTTATCAATTCCAGGCAGGTGAGCTGCAGAACAAACATTGCAAAGTTCATCCTATTTACATTACATCACAACAGTGATCTGTGTCCTGAGTTTCACAGTGTACACACTGCACATTAAATATCCTTCCCCCTCCCCAGAGACTTTACACTGTTTCAGTCCCCTGTTAATGAATACTTGAACAAGAAAGGTATATCCTCCTATGAAAGTGACTCCACTTTTATGGCTTCATAGTAACATATTAGGTAATACTTCCTTCAATTATGAGACGGATACTGCCCTTCCCGAGGCATTCCAGACCTCTTTTCCTCATTGCTCCGTAGCAAATCCCACTTCTGTTAACTTGAGTCCTGAGGTGACCCAACCCTGACAATTCATTTCTTAAAATTCTGAATGAAGCCTTTACCTTTCAGTAATAGCAGCAGAGGCTCTCAAACGGTATGTCTACACTACCACCCTAGTTCGAACTAGGGTGGTTAATGTAGGCAACCGGAGTTGCAAATGAAGCCCGGGATTTGAATTTCCCGGGCTTCATTTGCATATTGCCGGGCGCCGCCATTTTTAAATGTCCGCTAGTTCGGACTCCGTGCCCGCAGCTACACGCGGCAAGAACTAGGTAGTTCGGATTAGGCTTCCTATTCCGTACTACCGGTACACCTCGTTCCACCGAACTACCTAGTTCTTGCCGCGTGTAGCTGCGGGCACGGAGTCCGAACTAGCGGACGTTTAAAAATGGCGGCGCCGGGCAATATGCAAATGAAGCCTGGGAAATTCAAATCCCGGGCTTCATTTGCAACTCCGGTTCCCTATATTAGCCACCCTAGGTCGAACTAGGGTGGTAGTGTAGACATACCCTAAATGTGGTCACGTAGTCTACTACCAATGCACACCACTTTACAACTCAAAATGCATCAAGGGTACAGTAACGTAACCCAGCAAGAGTCTGAATACATTCTCTTTTTGGATCAGATATTTTTAGATCACCTTTGGAAATCAATCAGACAAAAGATTATTTAAATCAACTGTCATGCAATTCAGTGGAATAACGTTTGCTGTATTTTAAAATCAAACCTGGCAATTTAAAAGCCACTCCTCTGTTCAGAAGCTTCTGAAGTTACTGTTCTTACAAGCAACATTTAGGGTTACTATGGTTTGTCTCATACCTATTACCCCTAGGAACGGCCCTTTCAAGAGCCAAACCATGAGTTCCTGGGCAGGACTGAGCCTTTAATCTCACACCACCAGAGGTTCATGCTAACTTTGAGAGACCACTTTTTGATCTGAGGAAGTGGGTCTGGCCCACGAAAGCTCATCATCTAATAAACCATCTTGTTAGTCTTTAAAGTGCTACATTGTCCTGCATTTTGCTTCTGCCTAACTGAATGTGTCTGCTCTCTGGGCACAAGCAACAGCCCTTCTCCCAGACTGACCACCCCTCCCTCTAGTCTATGGGACATTATATTATTTACTTGGCAATCTAATCAGTTCCTTTTATTAAAAGGGTAATGGAAAAAGCTTAAACACACCAGGCTACAAAATCTAGGATTTCTTTTTAAATCAATCCCTTTAAGCTAAAGCAAAACACAACAGGGAAGCTCAAAAACATTTCTCAAACTGAGATTTTGTAGAGCAATTGCACCCATTCCCTCTGAAAAACCACACGACATGTAGGCTACACAGGGTCCAAGATACTATCAGTCAGGAACTGGTTTCCTTTAGGCACTTCAGCGCTTTGTAAACTCAAGAGTTCAAACTAGTTATTGGGTATGAGACTGATCTGATTAACTGAACCTCAAAACAGAAGCTCTGCTAACCATGAAATTAATGTTTCCAGCATGACAAATCTATTTTCTCTTGTATACAATTAGAACCTTACCTTTCACTTTCCTTTATGCAAACTGCAGTGAAAGTAAGAAAGAATTAAATATTAATATATATATAAAAAGCTATCCTTTCTTTCATTGGCTAATACCACCCACCTTTCGCCTCCTCGATACAAACTGCAGGGAATGTAAAAGAGGATTAAATATTAACCTTTAAGAAGCAGTGCTACCTACCACTGACTAATAGCAAACCACCCTCTCTTAAAATAAAAAAGAAAAGAAACAGTAAATCATGTTTAACTCTTGAATCACTGCACAAACTGGTTTCTAACTCCTCAGCTAAAACAGCATAATACTTAAACAAATAAGGGGGTAGCCTCCAGAACTCTGCAGGACAAATTACATTACATTACAATGGCTTGCCTTTGCCTTTAATGTCTTAACTGGCATCTGGTACTCCCGGCCCCGTGCTTACCTCTCTACAACGGATGCTAATACTGAGTTTACTGCTGGAGCTATACTCTGAAAAAGCTGATAATGGCAGGATTCCAGGGTAAATTGGATGAGCCCAAGTGGAGGGGATGGGAAAGTTTGCCCCAAGTTTTGAGCAGGCAAAGCAATACTAAAATGGCCATTTACAGTTACAGACATTTCCACCATTCCTAAAGCAGCAGTAGCCTATTATCTTCTCAGCTGGACATTAATTCTACCTTCTACAGCTGATGAGTTTAGTAATCCTGCTACAGCAACTAAGAACACTCATCACCAGGGCTCGACAAAATATGGAAAATCTTACTCGCCAGACAAAAAAGGGACTTGCCACCCTCCCCTCCCCAAAAAAGTGTTTTTTAATGGCATAAATTCCTAATAAGAATAAGAACAATAATTACTAATAAGTTATTAATAAATATCACCCAAGTTATTAATAAATATCTTAATGCTACAGCAACTAAGAACACTCATCACCAGGGCTCGACAAAATATGGAAAATCTTACTCGCCAGACAAAAAAGGGACTTGCCACCCTCCCCTCCCCAAAAAAGTGTTTTTTAATGGCATAAATTCCTAATAAGAATAAGAACAATAATTACTAATAAGTTATTAATAAATATCACCCAAGTTATTAATAAATATCTTAATCCTCTACCTTTTCCCTCTGCTGCCA